CTGGGGATATGGGGAAGTCAAGAAAGCGGACTTTGTCGACTTTGCGCATATCAGCCAGGGGTGGCGCTCCTGGACCACTAATGTGGACATCGTCCTCCCCAACGCACACGCAGCGGACTCAGTAGTCCGAAGAGCTAAGTCGGCGGCGGTGCGAAGCTCGTAAGCCTGGGTTGGACCCACCCTCGTGCAGCTCGGCCAGCGCCTGCGCTTGGTAGCGCTGGTAGGTGGCTATCGCATGCAAGGCGGAAGCAGCCTGGCCCGCAGCTATGTAAGCTCTAGCCCCGAGGGAGGTAGATAACTTACAGGCTTTGGATGGGAGACGAGGCGGACCCCGCCAAGAAGAGGCGCCGCGCGGATTTACCGCCATCGCGCACTCAACCTGAGGAATCGCCACATACCCCCTGGCTGTTTCACCGTCAAGAGTGGTTAGGGTGGAGGAACACGCAGCACGAGCAGAAAAAAGTGCTTTACAAGACCGCGTGAGCCTACTGTGCACCTCCGGGAAGAAGGGAACGCCCCTCTAGTCGGTCCGGCCGCGGAGCTGGGGGATAAACCATCTCCAACCCACGGCCGAAGCAGCCCGGGAAAGCACGGCTAACATGTCCGTTTCAGGATCCGTAGTGACAGCGCTCACCAGCCCGAAGGGGGCGAGCGGGTCTGGATCATCATCGGACAATGAAAGCCCACCCTCCGATGCCGCGGTGGACATCTGGTCTCCGGTGTCATCGGGCGTAAGGGCTACCATCTGTTAGACGGATCGCTTCCTCCGCCCGAAGCTTGGATGGAGCGCTTAGAGGAGCGGGAGGTCCGCGGGCCCGTGGGCGACGGATTATCTCTCGCTGAAACCCTCAGATCTGCCCGAGTGCCCGCTGCAGAGCAGGGGACAACTGGGGTGGTTCGCCTTTTTGCAAAGGCTAACCGCGATCTTGCGCAACAGTCATGGCATCGCAATGACGACATGAACTGCCCGCGAGCAGCGCATTAACATGCTGGACCCCCAGACATGTAACACAGTGCCCGCGCCCATCATCCGAGGACAGGAAACCACCGCATCCAGAAACGCACAGTCGGAGCGCCGTCCTGATAAGGACGTGCTGCACGACTGTGTTGCTCTTTCTGTGAAGTTTGCAACTTTATACGCACCGCTCTGGAGGACCGGACCCAAAGAACGCCAGGCAAGGGAGAAACCCAGCTCGACCGTCTGCCACTGCGTGTACACACTCTGGACCGGGAGAATGCTCTCGTTCGCTCAGAATCGCTGGTCACAGCAGGAGGAACCCTCATCGACTCGATCAGAAAGTCTCTGAAGCGAAAAGGATAGCGTCTGCTGCGCCAGGTGAGCTTATATACTCAGTTGATTGCTTATGCCGCTCACCTGCGCAGGCTTGCGCTGCCAATTCATTCTTAATTGGCCCGTTCAATACTCTTTCAGACGAGTAGCTTCTGAACCGAACCTCCCAATGCGTGGATTTTACAATCAAATCCACTTATAGTGCTGAAGTTCCCCCCGAAGGGGAACTAAAGTTAATAATGATGTAACTGTCATGATTTGACCCCAAACAGTGGCCCCTTAGTGAATATTAGAATTCGAATAATTAATATTAATGAATAATACACCTGCTCAATGAAAATCAGATGATTTTCCATCAATAAATCCAACATAACTTGATCAGATATCTAAAAAGGGGAGAAAAAGATTAAACCGTCACACACAAGTCACAGGTCAATACTTATTTTTTATTCCAATAATAATAGTGCCAATGTGGACTAGTGGTAAGCACGTTGCGTTTCAACGCCGCTCGCCCGTGTTTAAATCTCACCTAAAAAATTATAATTTTTTTCATTTTTATTGTTAAGACATATAATACTGTTAGGGCTGTTGAACATTTGAATTTCTAAAGCAGCTGTTTTCTTGAAAAAGACTCGATAGTGTCATTAAAAACTGAATTGGAATTGGAATCAGTCATGAACTGACGTGGCCGGTCTGGCTTAATACTCCAGGGCTGAAAATGAGTCCCACTCCGGCCCTGATATAAAAGTATAAATATATTTATATACTATTTGTAATACAATGTTGTAATTTAATACAAACAATCATAAATATAAACTGTACCTTTAAACAACACGAGCATTTATAGCAATTAAAATAAACAAACATAAATATCCCGCTCGCTTTCTGATCCTTGCCTAGTTCTTTTAGACCCCTTTGATTGGTCACACCCACAACAAAAAAAGGCTGTGATTGGCTATTGCGCTCTGCGCTCTTCACAGATGATGACACTGATAAGCGGCAAGCAGCATAGGCGATCACAGCTGATCCATGATAGACACGGTGGAGAAAACTCTGCAGGCACGCGCTCATGTCTGTATCCAGAAGTATCGCTGTAAAACAGCTGAGAGGAGAGGAAAAGTCACACCAGCAGGTCAAATGAGAGAGAGAGAAAGAGAGAAAGAAATGGAGTACTTTCATCCTCTCAATCACAGTGAAATAGGGGCTTCTGCTGGTGAAAAACTCTCCAGCAAACACACACGCAGTGAAATTGTGCACAGTTTCTAAGTTTTAAGTAGTTGGAGCATTGTAAATACTCGCGCTCGCCTCCCTCGCCAATAAAAGACGTCAGTACACAATAACCGGTTATGTTTATTACTGAACCGATACTGAATTGTCCGCGTGTGCATCGCAGTGCACTGGAGAAACAATTAATTTTGACACCCCTAATATTCTTGGTAGGGGTGAGGCAGTGGCGCAGGGGGTAGCACGTTCACCTCACAGCAATAAGGTCACTGGGTCGCTGGTTCGAACCTCGGCTCAGTTGGCGTTTCTGTGTGAAGTTTGCATGTTCTCCCTGCCTTCGCGTGGGTTTCCTCTGAGTGCTCCGGTTTCCCCCACAGTCCAAAGACATGTGGTACAGGTGAATTGGGTAAGCTAAATTGTATGAGTTAATGTGTGTGTGGATGTTTCCCAGAGATGGGTTGCAGCTGGAAGGGCATCCGCTGCGTAAAAAACTTGCTGGATAAGTTGGTGGTTCATTCCGCTGTGGTGACCCAGGGTTAATAAAGGGACTAAGCTGACAAAAAAATGAATGAATGATATTATTGGTGGTCTTCTGACGCCTGACTGGGTCTGAAAGGGTTTGTTGAGAGCAGAATCGGCTTGATATGTTTAATGGTCTAATGAGTTGAAATGTAATCTGAAGTTATCTTTTATCCCTAAAAATGCATGTAGAAACTTGATTTTGCATCAGTGTGAGCTAAACGCACATGATCTAAACCTCCACCACGATGCTCTAGTGCTTTCTGTCTCCTCATTTTTTGCATTCTGTATTTATTTATTAATTTTAGAGTGGCTCTGAATACTAAACAGACCGGTGCTGTTTTGCATGCTGGCTTCTATTTTTGAAATGTTCTGAAATGATGTTTGCATACATTTGCATAGGCAAGTGCAAATTGATCTATGAATATGCAAATACAGGGGCTGATGTCTGTGGCAGGCTCCACTCTGCAAGAGAGCTCAAACAAACACACGCGCGCACACACACACTCTGTGACATGCAACACTTTCAAACGCATCCCTCACGCAACTTGACAGCCCACCCTCCCTTCAAACCCCCCTCCACCTTCACCCACGCACACACACACACCTTTTTTATTTACCTCTCACAAAGGAAACTGTATATATTTGCTTATTTATTCCAATAATGTGTCTATCAGCATGGCAATTAAAAGATGTTGGTGCTACTTATCTGTATCTGAGTTGTTTCATGTGCATATTAAGCAAATCAGCATACATAAAGGCTACAGGGTTTCACTAACATCTGGGCCAGCTGCCAGAACAAACAATTCCAACCGTTTGCGCCTATATTAGACCCTGACTTTATTTGTTTGCTGGATCCATGGCTCCATTCCCTCTTTCTCCCCCTGCAAGCATGTATCAGTCAGTAAATGCTGTAATCACTAGTCCGAATGTGGGGTGATCAGCCTTTTAATAGACTGTATCTGCCATTTCTTGTTGTTAGACGTAACCTCATTCTTCCACAAATGGATTTGGATGTCCCTTAGCCTTGACCATTTAATTTAACGGCTCTCAGATATGCTCATTGGGATTGAGAGACAGGGGCTGTTTCTCAATTCCAAGAACTCAGAGAACGGACTTGCGTTCTTGTGGAGACCGGTCTTGCCAGGTGTCCTAGGAAGATTGAACTCAGAAAACCACGAGAACAGAGAACGCGTACTTTGAGCAATGAGATGCTGCGTTCTTCCTGATGGTCACATGACCTTCACGCGTTTACAACGATTTATTGTTTCCCCCCCTTTTCAAAATATATACTTTGCATAAAAACGTTATAAATATACTCTGCACAATATAAATAAAACAGATTTTAATAGGAATTTCAGCAAACAAACACCCTTAATGTGTTTATGCCTTTATTAAGATGTTCATGGTTTTGTTTACTTTCACTGTTTAATTTAGGGAAACTCCTGAGGTAAATAAGTTAAATCTCTGAACTTTAATAATAAATCTAGATAAAATGCTGCGCTTCCCTCCTCCAGTCGCAATGACTTTTGGGACTTCCAGAGCGAGTTCAGTGCTCAAGTCTGCATTAGTGCGTCCTCGATATCAAGATCACATCCAGGAACATCCGCATCCTCTGTTCTTGCGGTCTTGAGTATTGGAACTGAACTTTGGCAGCTGATGATGACGTTACACGAGAATACGAGGACGCAAGACCGCTGAAGAACGCATATTGAGAGACGGCAAGGATTGAGTAGCATGGCTTGTGGTATTGTCATGTTTGAGGGTCACATCAGGAAGGGTAGAATGGGGGGAATGATGTCTTCCTGGTAACACACAGACTTTACAGTTGAAACCAGAAGTCTACATACACTGTATAAAAAGGCAAAATTATTAGTATAAAAAAGTCAGATGTTAATGTGACTAAACTTTTTCTCTTTTAGATAAGTTAGTATTAACACATTTGTTTCTGTTATGCTTAATGCAGACGCATATTGCTGTTATGCGTGGCCGAGAGCCGTGGGAACGGGGTGAGGCCACCGCGTAAGTGGATACACCTGCGGTGGGCATCTGCCTCGGATCCCACGGAAGGAGCTCTGGACCATAAAAGGAGGACCGATGGCAGAGGAAGCCGAGAGAGGACCGGGCCCAGACATATTTTACTTTTGCTTTCAGTTTGTTTTGGTTCTGTGAGGAGCTGCCGTCACTGTTATTAATAAATATTTTAAAGCTCCGTCGGTTCTCCGCCTCCTTCTTCCCGGCGGCCAAAGGGCCGTAAACATTATTACAGTGGTGCCGAAGCCCGGAAGAAGGAGGGACGCGTTGTCCAGATGCCCTCGCCGCTGAGAGAGGGGGCGAGTGTTCGGGAGTTAACCCGAGTGGGGGACTAACCCGTTCGTCTGCCCAGAGTGCCGGGGCGGCCTGAGGCTGGCGAGGAAAGGATCTGCCTGCTGCCGTTTCCCAGCATGGGGAGGAGCAGGGGACGCGGGGCTCACCACCGGAAGGGAAAGTGCTGAAGGGAGCCATCCCACAGAACCCGGGGGAGTCGCCGCGACCATAAAAGGAGGACCGATGGCAGAGGAAGCCGAGAGAGGACCGGGCCCGGACATATTTTACTTTTGCTTTCAGTTTTACGGCAGTCTATGTGAGGAGCTGCAGTCACTGTTATTAATAAATATTTTAAAGCTCCGTCGGTTCTCCGCCTCCTTCTTCCCGGCGGCCAAAGGGCCGTAAACATTATTACAGATATTTTTTGAGTAATTGTTATAACTTTTCTTGAAAGTCAAGTTCACATACAATAAGATTATTCTGCCTCTGAAAAAGCTCAGATGAGGGTGTCAAGGTTTTGGAAGTTTCTGATTGGCTAATTGACAACATTTGAGTTAATTGGAGGCACAACTGTTGAATAGTATTTAAGGAAAACCTCAAACACACTGCTTACTTGTGTGACAACATGGGAAAATCAAAAAGCCAGAATCAACAGAAAAGCCAGATTACAATTTGCTAAATTACACTGGGAAAAAGAATCATTTTTGGAGACATGTCCTGTGCTCTGATTGAACTAAGATTAAACAGTTTGGCCATAATGACCAGTGTTACATTTGGAGGACAAAGGGGAAAGCTTACGAGTCTATAGGAACACCATACCAACTGTGAAGTATGGGGGCGGCAGCATCATGTTGTGGGGCTGTTGTGCTGCAGGAGGGACTGGTCCACTTTACAGCATAGATGGCATCATGAAGAAAGAATTTTATGTAGAAATACTGAAGAAACATCAAGACATCAGCCAGGAAATTACAACTTGGCCACAAATGGGTCTTCCAAACAAACCATGACCCTAAGCATACTGCCAAATTAGTTCAAATGTGCTTTAAGGACAACAGATTGAATGTTTTGGAGTGGCCATCACAAAGTCCTGCTCTCAATCCAATAGAAAATTTGTAGGCGGAGTTGAAAAAGCTTGTGCGAGCAAGACAGCCTACAAATCTGACTCAGTTGCACCAATTCTGTCAGCTGGAATGGGCCAAAATTCCTTCAAACTATTGTGAGCTTGTGGAAGGATACCCAAAACATTTGACCAAAGTTATACAGTTTAAAAGCAAAGCTAAACAAAATACCAAGGAAATGTAAACTTCTGACTGTCTAGAAATTAATAAAAAAAAAAACAATTATCACAAAAAAAAAATTCTCATTATTCTGGCATTTAGCAAATGTAAATCATTTAGGTAATCCTAACGGACCTAAAATGGTAAACGTTTAGTTTGATTTACCAAAAGACATTTAAATAAAATGATTATGTTCCTTTTTTTAGATTGTATGTAAACTTCTGGTTTCAACTGTTGATGACAACAATCTCAGCTTTTGCACTCTTCTCTCTCTTTCTCTCTCTATTGAATGTGCAAATGTATCCAAACATAATTTCTGAATATATTTCAGGAACAAGCAATAATAAAAAACAACATTTGGTTGTTTGGTATTCAGTGGCGTTCCAGAATTAGTACAAAATACAGAAAATACAAATGAAGAGCCAGGAAGAGTTTGTGAACAGGAGGGGAGACTGTTTAACTCTTCAAGACTCCCAGGGCAGTGATTCTGTGTTTATAGACTTTTTTTAATGTCACAAAGTTAAGGTTTTCCTTTTTTTCTGCTGTAAAACATTTGTTAAAATTGAAGATTAAAGGTTAATATGCCTATATGTGAAATCATAGCATAAATTCTGTATTAGGAAAACTCATTGGAAATGAAGGAAATAAATCTCAATGCATAAAGTTTTTTATAAAGTATTTGATTGCTTTAGAACTAAAATGTACAAATCTTTACGAAAAAGCACTTTTTTTTCGCAGTATTAGATTGAAAGGTCAGAGAACTCCTGTGCGGTATGATTGCAAGTGATCAAAAGAAACTTTAATCATTTGTAGCCATACTTTTGAACTGGATTGTGTCTGTCTTGTTAACCTGTGATCTGATCGAGCAAAATGTGTCTTATTACCCTGTAAACAGGGCAGCAGTCATGTTAAATTCGCCGACTCCCTCTGTATCATCTGCGTAATCATTCTTGCCTTTCTCATAATAATCTTCATAAACTAGCCTATATAAGGTGTGTGATAGCCTTAGTTGAAAAAGCTGCGCACGACAGCACGCAGGTGATGATGAAAATAGATTGCAGCGACTGCATAAAAAAGGCGTTGCGTCAAATTGTGGAATGACAAGAAATAATGTCGATCGCGCCACCAAATACTTGAAAAGGAAAGTAACATCAGTGGTTTAAAAATGTAAGGAGTAGAAAGTACAGATATTAGTGTGAAAATGTAAGGAGTTAAAGTAAAAAGTAGTCGAAAAAAAAACAAGTAATGAAGTAAACTACTTATACCAGAAAAATCTACTTAAATACAGTATCGAAGTACTTGTACTTTGTTACTTCCCATCTCTGGCTATATGTTGAGTGTTGTTTTTGAACCCAAAAAAGGGTACCCTTAGTACTGGGGTGCGTTTTCCAGACAACAATGTAACTCGCGGCTGAGCTATTATAGTACGATGAATCGTTTGGGAAAAGAACGACGTAGTGAGGAGTGTTTCCTAAAAGGCATATTTTCTCTGTTGCAGATCCATCGCTTGAACCATGTTAGTTATAACGTAAAACGGCCATAATAACATTCTAAGTAACTACTTCTTTAGAGAACAACCCCATAATTTCTTTGTGCAAATTATTTTGTTTTACACGCACACACATTTAAAATAAAACCCAATAATAGATTTGGTAAAAACATGCACTCGCTTTCCATATTAACTAAATTATATGTAAATGGCACATATAGGGCCTGTGTTTCCTTTACAAATATTATTAAGAATATGACATATCCTATTCTAAAACATAAAATCACTGACAAAAGCTAACACGTATTCTAATATCATATATAAATCATATAAATAAATAATGAGGCTATTTATTAAGAAATGAGACTTAATATTTAGTATGTATTAGAAATAAAAAATATATAATATAATAATTGTTATAATATTAATGATGATGATGATTAATATTATTAAATATCAAATGTTTCATTTTTTTATTATTATCATTTTTTAGAAAAGGCTACTTTTACAATTTGACACTTGTAAACTACAGCAGAACGTAACCAGCAGGCCCATGTCATATACAGTACAGATACTTAATAAATAACTTACTATAAATTAAAAGACTTAGCGTATGCTTTTTGTTTTCACAAGTTTTGAAAACGTAAAATAATTTTCCCTTTTAAATAACAGGTCACTTTCAGCTTTCGCCATGAGGCTGTTTTCAAAATGACATTAATGTTTTTAAAGTAAACTGCGAAGGGAGCACATTTGTAAACATGAAGATCGCTAAAACTGAACTGTAAAAATAGTTTGAAAGCAAATTACACCTAAGAGAGATGACCTTAATGCTTTTTTATTTTTAATAAATCCAACTTTGAATGTTAGAATGTTCTAAACGAATAGGGTATAGGGGGGATAAGTGGGAATAGAACACAGCCAGGAAATATGTTTCAAACTACAGCTACAGAGCTGTAGTTGCGAGTGCTCAAGTTTGCGAATGTTCGTTGGAGCGATGGATTTAGGAAAAGGTAAATCAACAAACTATGTTTTAATGACGAATCTTGCGACCTTAGTTGGCTATCGATGGTTGTGGGAATTGCACCCGAGCACTGTACTGTACCAGTCAATGGAAATGGGCCAAAAAGTAAAGGAATAATGGTTATATGCTTTTCATGCTAACTTTGTGCTTGTATGATGTATGATTACATGTCTCATTTCTTTAGGGATCATTTCACCCCTATCTCTTACAGTCTACTTTACAGGGCAAGACATAGGGATAGGCAGAGGAGTTTAAAATAGATTTGAAAGAAATTAGTTTAGTGTTGAGAAAGTCTTGCTCACAGTTGCTTTTTACAGGATTATACCATCCAATGGAGGAAAAACTACATCAATAAATCAGGAAAGTTCAATCTCTGTCACGTCCGGAAATTAACCAGCATTAACCTTATCAATAAATAAATATTAATAAATAGCAAAGCAAACATTAAATTACATGTGGTATGTGTGTTATTTTTATGTGTATAATAAAACACACACAAAAAAAAAAAAAACATAAAAAGTTGATAATTAAGTTAACAGTATCAATTATTTTTACTGCTTGCAAGTCAAGTTCCAGTACCCCAGCTGTGTAAATGTTTTTGGTCGCTGGGCGACTGAAGCAGGTTTCTTTCCTCTTTTTCATTTCATCCAATCGTCCTTCTTTATTTTTTTCCTTGTCTCCTTTTTCTAATCTGGGGCCAAAGTAAGCCTAGCTCACGTTGTTCTTGGCAGTGGCATGGAATGTAAGCATGATGGTACTTTGTAATTTGGGGAATGGAGTTAAATCTGAGCTGCCTGTACATTTTGTGATTGTGTAGTTATGACCCCCCCCCCCCCCCCCCCCCCTCTCCACCCTTGTCTGCACTTGCCTTTAGTCTTCAGAATTTACAACAACATTTCCTCCTTGTCCTTCTCCTTACTGAGTGAGATTGTACACTCAAAATATTATGTTTGCAGTTTGTTCAAACTACGTATTTAAAATTAGCAATGTAATTGTTT